AATCATACGCACACACCATTAAATATGTAGTAATTTAAAACTCCTCAATACAAACTATAAAATAAAACAAGTTATCTTGAACTAAACTAAATAGTGCAGTTTGAAAGTGTTTTACTTCAGTAGCTTTGCACTTTTACTGAAATGTCGTTTTAAAATGCGGGCGCCCCCAATGTAAACAGTGCATTTGACCTGATCCACTGMAAAACATGTTTAGACTGGAACAAAAGTTAGTGAGTGATCCAAAGCATGGTGTCATGTTGAAGCCAGACACAATTGGTTTCAAAGAGGGAAAGAACATGTTTCCATACACAGGTCCATGTACCCAGGTACAGTACATATACACAGGTCCATGTACCCAGGCACAGTACATACACAGGTCCATGTACCCAGGCACAGTACATACACAGGTCCATGTACCCAGGNACAGTACATACACAGGTCCATGTACCCAGGCACAGTACATACACAGGTCCATGTACCCAGGTACAGTACATACACAGGTCCATGTACCCAGGTACAGTACATCTACACAGGTCCATGTACGCAGTTACATCTATGCAGTTACATATACAGAGGTAAATGTACATATGTACAACTACATGTGAATAAATGTACCTGTGCAGATGCACTTGGGTACATGTACYTGTGTAGATGTACCAAGTGCATATAGAAAGGTACACATGCACAGGTAAGTATGTACACAGGTACACATAGCAGATCTTTTGACCTTTTTCACTCTGATTTATTTATTTTATTTTATCACAAAAAGGCAAAAATGATATTTTTATTCAGCATTTTGTTCATTTCAATTCTGTGCAAACATAATTATTATTTAAAAGTACAACATCTGGATTATTTTTACCATTTACAAAAAATATTACAATGAATGCTGTTTACATACATTTCAGCTGAACAGAAGCAGCAGAAATAGGACAAACGAAGCAGCTTCTTTCCAAGGAACTTAATCACATTCAGCTTGCAGCCAAAATCCCTCTGATTCTTTCTGTTTCGGCAGAGTTTGACCAGTTTAAGATTCACTGTGTAACAAATGAGTCTGAATGGCCCTCAGAGATAAGAAGCAATTTCAGATCTGCCTAATAAATCACTAGAGAGAAAAGACAAGAAATTCAGTCGGGGCAAATGAGAGGTAAAACTTCCACTGAGACAAAAACAAAAAATGTATTGATGAATTYGCCCTGAAGGCAGCAAAATTGAAGTCAATAAAGGAGAATTTTAAAAATGTGACCAAAGGGAGAAAAAAAATGAGATCAAAATGAAACCACAAAATGTTCCGTGTTCCAGAAGATCGAAGTGAAATTTTAACAGCATCAGCATCTTAGAAGTGAGAACTCATCAAAGCAAAGATCTTTGTGACTGTTCAGAACTAACAAAGTGAAAGTCCATTTCCCAGCCGGGTTTTGATCAATAGCTCATATGCAGTTTGGCAGCAACGCTTCAGATGCTTATCTGCCTGACCAAATGGGCACTATCTGCACCAGCAGACTTTAATCAAAAGTGACTTCTTGAGATTGTAGTGCTGAGCGAACCGTAGGACCAAATGCACACTCAGATGTAACGCACACACAGCAGCCAATCAATCACTGTAAATGATTGGCTGAATAACAGGACAGGCTCAGACCGCTTGAGAAGCAGGTGCAGCAGTGAAACATTGGTGTGTTAGGATGAGGTGATGTCTGCTGAACTGACTTGGCAGAGATCAATAGGTGCAGTGTTTGTAATTAACTGTCGAATAGAAACAAATGTTTGGGATTTATCCCATATTTGGGGTTCCAAAATGACATGATTATGACAGAACCCAAATTTAAGAAAGAGGAGCTTTCTTTGCTTCACATTTTTGCACAATATTCATCCACCAAAGCAGGAACCTACAACCAGGGTTCCCACATCTTGGCTGACATCAAATTCAAGAACATTTCAAGAACCTTCCAGGACCAGTATCCTCAAATTCAAGGACCATGTGCAACAGCATTTACCTACTGCTACCGCTGAACATGTTATCAATGAACRATTTTAATTKAAAAAAAGTCAATTAAAACCTGGATKTCATAGACGTTGTTGGGTCACGGGGTTGTCTAAGTTGTCTAAGGCAAGTCACAGACCAGCCCTGAATTCAGTGTTGATGGCAGAAATCTATGGTGGTGACGGAAAACTTTAAGCCATTTTTTCCAACCTCCAAAAACCAGTCAGGGACTTTCAAAGATTGATGTCTTTTATAGACGTTAAAAAAAAATTCAGAACCTTAAAAAAAWTTTTAAATTTACAAACTTTCAAGGATTTCAAAGACCCGTGGGAACCCTGAACAAGTGATGAAATTTAGGAGCAGGTTATTTGTTGAGTAATTAACTAAATATGCTTCATAGAAAATTTGTGGGATAACATCCACAAATGGGTGTTTTAGGTTATTTTATTCTTAATCTCGTTTTACTTTACATTTTAGATTTAACTTTAGTATTTGTGTTCTTATTCGCACTGGGGAATGGCACCTCAAATATTTTTGTAGACCATTTTTTTGTTAAAAGTGCGACAAATATTCTGGTTCTGCAGTTTGAAGCATACAGTGCCCATCCAGTGAGATAAAACAAATGCAATGCATGGCCACGAGATACTTTTAAACAAGTACTATAATTGGAAAAAAAAACATTTGGGTGAAAAGCATGAAATAACCAGTGAAAATTAAAAGGCTACAGAATCAGTAGTTTAAAAGATCACTTTGGTCAAAAAGCCATCTGCATTTTCTAATCCAATATTTGGATCTTTGATTGATTATTTTTTTAAGTCATACAGAAAACAGGTTTTACCTGTACAGAAACAAATCCTGTATATTTTTCATTTAATATGAAATTGCTGCCACCTTCCTACAACTACATACTGTATGATAACTATACTTCTGGCTCGTAGTACAGGTTACAGAGCACTAAAATTTAGCACAGGCTGTATGTAGTCCAGCCGTGCTGTTCAACCACCATCAGYGGACATGTGGGTACAAAGTTTAAATGCACAGAAAAATCAGTTGCTCTTGATTTKTATTGCTAACTAAACTTAGCACAAACCATCAAGAAAATTTGTGTTTGATAGATTATTTCTTTGTTGTAACAATCCTTCTTGGCAATAAATCGTATACTGTTATAAATCTCTTAAATTTCCTTTAAATGGTGCCATATTTGTAAGGAACATGCATTTGTGGTACAAGCAGTATAGCTGAGTATGTGGGTTGCACACATGAAAAATTTGCCAAACAGCTTATTTTGCAGTTGCCATTTTCTCTTGTTTTGTGCTTCTGGTATCTCCAGGTGCTGTCAATCCAGTGTGCATTAAATGGTAAATGGTACTGAACTTATAGAGCGCTTTTCAAGTCCCTCCGGACCCCAAAGTGCTTTACACTAACAGACATTCACCCATTCACACTCACATTCACACACTGATGATGGCAAACTACATTGTAGCCACAGCTGCCCTGGGGCACACTGACAGAGGTGGGGCTGCCATGCACCAGCGCCACCGGACCCTCTGACCACCATCAGTAGGCAAGGTGGGTGAAGTGTCTTGCCCAAGGACACAACGACTGAGACGGCTGGACGGGGGATTGAACCAGCGACCTTGTAGTTCCAGGACGACTCCCCTAACCACTCCACCACAGCCGCCCATTATAAGATTTATTGCCAAAAGGCAATGGTACAACAAAGAAATAATCTACCAAACACACATTTCTTTACTTTTTGTTCTAAGTATGGTTAGCATTCTGAACCCAATGAGTAAATCCTGCAGATTTTCGTACTTGGAACAGTTAATTTGAGCCTGATGTTCAGTATTTTTGTCAAAGGCAGCATAAAAAACATGTACCTGTGCCTTTTTGATATGTTGGTAATGGATGTTATCTACTTATTGTGGTAATTTCAGCACATTTCCATAGCCATTATGATAATGAATGTGTCACTTTTTAAAAATAAATTAGACGATTTACTTGCAGTACGCATTGTATTGGCTGTTTGTGTATACTTTTATCTTCACTTACAATACCRTAGGTCTCTTGAGAATGAGTCCACAGATGGCATTTTAACTGCATCCGATTACACACAGGTTATTGCAATTATCAAGGTTTTCTGAAAATTTGAGAGTGTAAACTTATTCATGCATAATATTTCATGCAAAAAAAAAATCCATTTCCCAGGTTTAATTTGGTCGTAACACCTGGAAGCTCCTGCATTCCTTTACACATCACGTTGCACTACTGTCCTCTTGTGGTTGAGATGCACAACTAAACCCCACAGAATCGCTTTCACACAAAATGCTTACCAAGTGCAACCAACATGTCGAATTAAAACAGGGGTCTGCAACCAGTAGCTCGTGAGCTCATTTAAAGTAGCTCTTCAGTGCTTATGAAAAATTAGGAGAAGCAAAATTTGTCACTGGCCAAACAAACATTCATTTAATTCCAATCTATAATGTCCCTTCCTCTTGGCTGTCAAACAGTTTAGGGCTCAGTATGGTCGATGGGCAGATGACACGCGGTTAAGTGGTTGTTTGGCTTTCATTTTCACACACTTTTCATAGCCTCTTGAGACACCATGCCAAACTCCTGGGAAACCCCTCCCGCTGCGGTATTTGTCACTACAGGGGGTTTCTTTCCGCTGGAGTCCACAATGTGAAAAAAATAAATGGGTGACCCATCGCCCAACATTATTTGTRCACGAATCTGTTGCAGTTAAACCCTAACTKRTTAGTGTGAAATACACTATAATATGAATGGATAAACACAAAAAGCACATTCATGTAAATTCAGAGTTATTCGTGGTGGTTTCATGTGAATTGAAGACAATGTTTTTTGTACAAAACAAGCTTATTGCAATGGTTTAAGATTAAGTTTAAAATTAAATGTTGCAAAAAGTAGCTCTCAGACATTTCATTTTGTGAAAGTAGCTCTWACGGTAAAAAAAGTTTGGAGACCCCTGAATTAAAATAAACAGTCACTGCACCAAACATTTAAAAAAATGGTTCTTTATTTTACACTGACACATGACAGCCGTTTAAAACAGCAAATAATCTGCTCGTCTTAAAACATGATAAAYGCTGTACAAACATCAAAATGCATTTATACACAGCTGCGAACTTTAACAAAGTATGAAAAACGTATAAAACATACGGGCTAGTGCATCACTTMTTAGTAACATGAAGCCTTTCACTTTTATTTTACTCATTTTCAGTTTTGCATTATATACAGTCAAAGATTAGGCATTACTAATGAATTAAGATGCTTTTATCTTTTTATAAAACACTTATTCAAAAAGAATAATAACATGCTTAAAGATAAATAGTCAAGTTAAAACTTTCTTTTGGAATTAGGAATAGTTTTTTTTCCAATTATAAAAGACAGAGTGGACTACATATATAAATATAAAACATATGAACAAAATATGTACATGCTTTGTAGAAAAGAAGGTTTTACTTCACTTGGTCTTTATTTTATCAGTTTAAGAATCGAGGTCTTCATTGGGAGGTTAATGTTTTCTCCAAAATGTCCATATTAACCAAAGGCAGAGATGCAACTTCAAAAAACACCCTGAAAATGTAAAAAATAAATAAATAAATTACATACCAATACTTTGTCTATTTAAAAAACACACAAGAGATTTTTAAATTCCAGACTTACTTATGAGAGTATTTGTTCCTGATGGCTTTCAGTTTATCGTCAGGGGGACCTGAAAGC